AAACTTGTAAATCAGATAAAAATACATATAATATATAAGTTTAAAAGATTTGCACAGGTTTTATCTTTATTTTTAGGAAAGTTCAGCAAATTTGATCATGTAGGGGTGAAAAAAGTGTTGGTGATACTGGGGTAGTTACGGATACCATAGGTTATTTTAAGTTTATTTCTTTTTTATTCATCAAAAATTTAAAAAAAAGAATATTAAATCATAATTTTTGCAGAAATGATGATTAACAAACGAATATTATGGTCAAATATATTTTTTGTATTTGTTTTATCTCACAACGATTGCGTCAAAACACATGATACTACATTTAAAAAGTAAAAAAGATTTATTAATAGATACATTTTCTATTAATCCCAATTACAAGCTTCTGACTCAAAGTTTGATAACATTCCGAGAACTGATTGATCATTACTTCATCATAAATTCTCCAAATGTGACATTAGTCATAAATTTTCTATGAACTGTAAGAATGTCAATCCAAAACGGCTGGACAATTTGCTTGCAGAAATTTAAGCTATACAGTTCGTTATTCCGCTAGAAGAGCAAGCTATTACGCAAGCTAACCATTAAGATTTTGTGTAACCAGGATAAATTTTGGAGACGATTAATCATCCGATTACATCATCATAGACAAATTTTACTATATAAGGTCGCCACTTTTAAATTGAGAGATTTTCTTACACGAAAATATTTTGTTCATAAAAAAATGTTTACTTTAATCAGTCTCATCAAAAAGATTTCTCGCCCTACTTCACTTACTCTTCGATCAGCAGTATATTTCTCATCTGCCACATCATTTAAAGATTCAATTAAACGATCACAAGAATTAGTCACGACCACGCTTAGAGAGCAAGGTTTTAATGGTAACGTCAACGCCGACGCTTCATTTTTAGCTAAAATAGATTTGCGATTACTAAACGTGAGCTTCCAGCCAGCTCACAAGTGCGATGTCATCCCTTGTGATATAAAAGGTACGAAATATGTTGTATGACAACCTTTTTATTGAACCTAATGCTAATAATATAGATATTATTTAGTTACTGGCTTTATTGAGAGATTTATTCTTCCCCAAATCGATACCCAAACACTTGCAAGCAGAGAATTTCGTGGTCGTGTTAAAAATCTTATAGAAGTTCCGGACAATAAAGCCAAAACATTCTTAATCGATATAAACGAAATTGTCAAGAATTTAGAAGCTGAGAATGACACACTACTAAGAAATTTATTGTTTACAATATCTGGACTGCATAAGTATCCTTTGAGAGTTAGGTGAGAAATTATGAATAATTTTTTGTTGAGACGCATTCTAGCGATTTACAATATTTCTAAAATTTAGAATCAGGCCGCGATGCAAATTATACATCGCAGGCGAGCCTTATGTTTCAGCGAGACTCAAATACGCGATTAATAAGGAGGAGGAAATTGCGATTATTGTTGAGGTCTGTATGTTTTGACTGTTTGAATATTCTATATTGTTTACTCATATAATTTTCTT